GGTAATTATTTATACCTGGTCTTTTGTTGAAATATATCCCGTTTATTTCTTAAGATTTAGTAGATGTAAATTCCCTCATATTCACATTCTTATAACCGCTCACATTGTGATGAACGAGAACTCAAGTATGGTAAACCAATTTATTGTCTTATGCAAAATTATACAGTACCTTTTTAGTAATGACAATAATGCATCAAATACATCGTTTACATATCTTCCTTGAGTCGTCCTCCACAAAATTCAGCATTCTTTGAATCCTGTTGTTATTCCGTTTGTTCTTTGTTTTCTTTCCCCTTCTCTTTAGTTCAATTTTCCACTTTCAATCCCTGTTACATATTACTTTAATTCATCTGGATACGTACTTACTTACTTACTTACTTACGCCTGTTACTCCTCGTGAAGGAGCATAGGCCGCTCACCAGCATTCTCCATCCAACCCTGTCCTGGGCAATCCTTTCCAGCTCCTTCCAGTTGTAATTCATCCTTTTCATATCTGCTTCTATTATCCGACGTAATGTGTTCTTTGGCCTTCCTCTTTTCCGCTTCCCTTCAGGATTCCAAGTTAGGGCTTGTCTCGTGATACAGTTTGACGATTTGCGTAATGTATGTCCTATCCATTTCCATCGTCTTCTCCTAATTTCCTCTTCAGCTGGAAGTTGGTTTGTTCTCTCCCACAGAAGGCTATTGCTGATGGTATCTGGCCAATGGATGTTGAGTATCTTGCGTAGACAGCTATTTATAAATACTTGTACTTTCTTGATTGTGGTTGTTGTAGTTCTCCAAGTTTCAGCTCCATACAGTAGAACTGCCTTGACGTTCGTATTGAAGATTCTCACTTTGATATTGGTTGAAAGTTGTTTTGAATTCCATATGTTCTTCAATTGTAGGAATGCGGCCCTTGCTTTGCCAATCCTCGCCTTTACGTCTGCATCTGAACCTCCTTGTCCATCGACGATGCTTCCCAGGTATGTGAAGGATTCTACATCTTCCAGAGTTTCGCCATCAAGAGTGATTGGATTGCTGTTTTCCGCTTTGAATTTGAGGACCTTCGTTTTCCCTTTGTGTATGCTGAGGCCTACTGATGCAGAGACTGCTGCTACACTGGCTGTCTTCATCTGCATCTGTTCGTGTGTACGTGATATAAGAGCTAGGTCATCTGCGAAGTCCAGATCGTCTAATTGGTTCTGAGCTGTCCATTGTATTCCGTGTTTTCCTTCAGATGTCGAGGTCTTCATAATCCAGTCGACCACCAGAAGAAAGAGAAAGGGAGAGAGTAAACAGCCTTGTCTGACCCCGGTCCTTACTTGGAATGCATCTGTCAGCTGTCCTCCATGCACGACCTTGCACTGTAGTCCGTCGTATGGGTTCCGGATAATATTGACAATCTTCTCAGGAATTCCGTAGTGTCGAAGAAGTTTCCATAATGTCCTCCTATCTACACTGTCAAATGCCTTTTCATAATCAATGAAGTTGATGTATAGTGACGAGTTCCACTCAACCGATTGTTCGACGATGATCCGTAGTGTTGCAATTTGGTCTGTGCACGACCGATCCTTACGGAATCCAGCTTGTTGATCTCGAAGTTGAGCGTCTACTGCATCCTTCATCCGGTTCAGCAAAACTCTGTTGAAGACCTTCCCTGGTATTGACAGTAGTGTTATGCCTCTGTAGTTTTCACATTTGCTCAGATCTCCTTTCTTTGGAATCTTGACGAGGTGCCCTTCTTTCCAGTCCATTGGCACTTGTTCCTCCTCCCAAATCTTTTTGAATAGAGGGTAAAGCATGCTTGTGGTTACTTCGACGTCTGATTTCAGTGCTTCAGCTGGTATGTTGTCGGGTCCTGCTGCTTTCCCGTTCTTGATTTGTCTGACGGCCGCTCTAATTTCTTCCGTCGTTGGTGGGTTGACATCTATAGGAAGATCTGTGTGTGCTGCTTCGATGTTCGGTGGATTCATAGGAGCCGGCCTATTCAGGAGTTCCTCAAAGTATTCTACCCATCTGTTACGCTGTTGTTGAATTTCAGTGATTGGCTTGCCTTCCTTGTCTTTGACCGGCCTCTCTGGTTTATTGTATTTCCCTGCTAGTTTCTTCGTTGTATCGTAAAGTTGTCTCATATTTCCTTCTCTAGCAGCTTTTTCTGCCGTCGTTGCTAATTCTTCCACGTATTTCTTCTTGTCAGCTCTAATGCTCCTCTTCACTTGCTTGTTTGCTTCTATGTATTCAGCTTGTGCTTGGACTTTCTCTGCTCGTGTTCGGCTGTTGTTTATTGCTGCCTTCTTGTTCTTCCTTTCTTTGATCTTGTCCAGTGTTTCTGTAGAGATCCATTTCTTATGATGGTATTTCTTTAGACCGAGAACCTCTTGACACGTTGAAGTTAATGCTTCCTTGATGCCTTTCCAGTTGTCCTCCATGCTAGTTTCTTCTTCTTTCAGTAGATCTTGTAAGGCTTGGAACCTGTTGTTGAGAGCTATCTTGAATTCATTGAGTTTGACAGTATCTCGAAGGAAGGCTGTATTGAGCCTTTGTATTGCTGTTTGTCCACTTGTCCAGTTCTTTTTTAGCTTCAGTTTCAAATTGGCTACAACTAGGTGGTGATCTGAAGCTACGTCAGCTCCTCTCCTGGTTCTCACATCTTCCATTGTCCTTCGGAATTTTTTGTTGATGCAAATATGATCTATATGGTTCTTTGTGGTGTGGTTCGGTGAGATCCATGTAGCCTTGTGTATACGTTTGTGTGGAAACATAGTGCCTCCTATGACTAATTTGTTGAATGCACACAGATTTGTTAATCTTTCTCCATTTTCGTTTCTCTCACCCAGTCCATGTCGTCCCATAGTATCTTCGTATCCAGTGTTGTCTATTCAGACTTTGGTGTTTAGATCTCCCATCAGAATGGTGAGGTACTTTGTTGGGCACTTCTCTATGATTGACTGCAGCCGCTCGTAGAATTGATCTTTAATGTCGTTGTTGCTATCATTCGTGGGTGCATAACATTGGGTAATATTCATTATGGTCCCCTCCTTCTTTGTTTTGAATGATGCTTTGATGATTCTGGATCCGTGGGATTCCCATCCTACAAGTGCATTTCGTGCTACTTTGGACAGCATTAGAGCAACTCCCTGAGTGTGTGGAGCATTTTCCTCTTCGTGACCGGAGTATAGCAGCATCTCTCCCGTAGCTAGTCTTTTCTGTCCAGCTTGGGTCCAGTGAGTTTCGCTGATCCCCAGTACTGCTAAGTTGTATCTCCTCATTTCCATTGCTATTTGACTGGTCTTCCCGGTTTCCCACATTGTTCGGACGTTCCATGTACCTATAAAAATTTTTGCTCTGGTTGTTAGAAGGGGCATCGGCCTCGTGGCTTCCGAAGGAACTCGGCTTTCACCATAAAGCGTCATAATTCTTCTAAATGAAGACCTTCTAACTCTCAGGGCAGAGTTAAAATGGTTTGAATTATTTTTTCTGGTAAGCGTTTTTTTAGCGAGTTAGTTTTCTACGGGATGGGGACGCTAACCCCATGCCCAACCCTCCTCCTTTACCCGGGCTTGGGACCGGCAGTAACTCTAGAAGAGCTACAGGCGGAGTTATCTGGATACGTAGTGCCCTCCATAACATGATCTAAAGTGTTTGTTTGTTTGGAACTATGGTGTTATACATACGACACCACTTGTTCTATTTTACAATCATAGCTACAGGATAAAATAGTATTGGGGTAATATCCTTATAGATTTTAAAAACCTGTCGAAATGTTGTAAATACTATGTAAACATTTTTGAAACTCGTTTCTGACTGTATTTATGACGAAACTCGAGATGGCTTTTTCACAACGCTTAGGTATGTGTAGGTTACTAGCGCATAATAATTATAGCTTATATGTGTTCGTTCAGTGACTGATGGTTGGACTGAATCTGAGCAGCTGATTTAAAAGATTCTTAGAAGAGAAACGTAACGAGTCCTTGTTTAACGTAAAACTCCCTTTTATACTTGGCAGGACGGGGATTTAGTACACTTGTGTGCTCATTCGCAGGTTTTTAAATCGATAACAGGAACTAATTTTTTGACCACTAAAGGGATACGTTTGATGTTTGTGCTGACGGATAGTCCCTTTCAGGTCTTTAATTAGACAGTTATGAGTTAATAGTTAGCATACTGAATTTGGTCACTGCTAGTTGTCATAATACGATTCGAAACTTTTTTATCCCTCGAATATGGGTGAAAACACCATGTTTCTGCACTCTGAATGACGTCACAAAATATTCGTGAAGACCAAAATAAACCCTTAGATTTCAGACCGTTCGAAAAGCACTGTTAGTAGTCAGGAACTAATTTACCCATATGTGGTTTAAGCGTATACGTCTTTCATACGGTGATAAGAGACGGTTCTTCCTTTAAAGTAGAGGTACCGAAGACTTCAAATCTGTAGATTTGAAGCAGTTCATCCAATTCATACTCTGAAGCAAATGGAAAGGTTTAGCCTTGGTCGGACCCACATGAAAATTCCTTCGTCGTTCAACAGACAAAAATAAGAAATATGATAAGGGAAGTAAATAAGTTTCCTGGTGCTTCTAGCATAACAGCAGGTTGCCGGTCAACTCCCCTGCTTAGGTATTCGCCTAAACTTGCTACAACGCCTAATGTTGTGCGAAATTAGGAGTGAAAACACTTTCTACCAAGGGATATTTGATAATGCGTTATCCATCATACTTATACTTCACATCACATCTAAGATGAATGGCCTACCAAGTCATAGAATTAAAAGTTAGTGTAATGTCGTTTGTCCTAATGTGAAGTAGTCTCAGATCCTCATGAAGAAACAAGCAATCGTCATACTACACAACGCTTTTCATCGTCAGGAAAAAAGAAACTCAGAATACACCTGTGAGACCAAGTCATGTACGCCCATTAAATAGATTGATGACCGCAACACATGCAAGTCAACCTCTTCCTAAGTTTCGAGGAACATGACAGAAAGTTTTAGGTTAGTAGTTTGAGTATGCGTCACAGGCGGGCTTTCTAATATTAATGTGAGGATGTGCCGGTCATCGGTCCAGACGTTATTTCTCGTCTTCGTGTATATTGTTTTCCGTTCTTTGAATATACGATCAGACTTAAGGCCTTTTAGTCCGTGGAGCAGTGACAATGTTTTGTTTATAGTCCAAACTACCAGACATATGAGTTGATGGCTTCAAACTCTTCTAATTCAGGTTAAATGCTTCAGTTTGACAGTAACGGACCATAATTTGTCTTCAAAACACATTATTTTTAGTTTCTCACAAAAGTTCAGCTCTTCACAAGTTCAGGGAGTGTATATCTAAAGAAGGAAATTTTAATCCCACAGAGTGTTAAGTACTAGTTCCATAGATAGATTTGGCTTAAAAATCCTCCTATTGTAGTAATAAAGTACAAAGATAAGAATCTGAATATGTTTGGCCACATGACACTACTTAGTAAGCGTTTTCTCAGTCAGTTCGCGACTTGTTTCTTTGATTGATTTCACCGTGTGGATAGTTCTTTATTACGTTGTCCTAATTAGTTTAATATAACTAGCTAGCTATTATGGCTCTTGTAACTGATTTTTTGCTTACAGTTGTCTCACGTGTGTACTTGTAAGATGAGTGGCCATATTTTTCACTTTGCTCTCACGGTTAGTTAGTCGAGATTTTCCCTGTATTGCTCCAGTACATTGAACTCAGGTTGGCCCATTATTGTATTTTACTTCGAAAATGTTAAGAATGAGGATGCTTCACTGATTTTTAAGCAGTAAACGACAGGTTTCATGTTTATCCACTGAATGTTTCTCTTGACAGACTATAAAAGACTTCGTTACTAGAATATTTAGCTATTTGTGCAAGCATTACGTAGCCTCGAAGTTAATCCCCTGACAATCTAAGACGGTCCCAATGGGCGGTTAGGGTGTATGCATAACATCAACTACGGTGTCATCGGTACTCTTAATGTTCCTCCATATATATTCATGCCTCGTAATATAATAAAACTTAAGTCTGAACTATCTTGGTGACTCGCTTTTAGTAACTTTCCAAAGTAGTGGATTTTCAACATAAAGTTTGCGGTTTCAAATCTAGTTCCCAGTATTGAGCGTTAAATAGTTTATTTTTATTTCCAGGGAAAACGTGGAGTCACGAATTACTGATAAAAGTAAATACCGGCCAGCTAATTAACTGCCTAATAGAATATGTACTAGATTCTCACTTAAAGCCCGATGAGGCAGAGGAAGGAGAGGTCAACGATTTGTCTGACCAAGAAGATAATGTCTCAGGTATGAGGTTTAATAATGACTTAGTCGTCTTCAGACTTTTCGAGTAATAGCGGTTCATCAAAGTCTTACAACAACCCATCACCAAAGCATGGAGATGAGAGCTGTACGTCAGAAATTTCACAAAACGGGGGATCATCACTTTCTACGCTAAATATACCATCAGTACATCATATCCGGTCCCATAAAAGTAGACCTGTCAAAATATCGGATACTCCCAATGTGTCAAAGAAAACAAATACAAGTCCTGCTAATACCAAATCAGAAGTTCGTGGTCAAACTTCGTCTCATGAAAACCAAACAACTAAGTTGCAGTCTATAGTCAATTGTGGTAGGGCTTCAGGTAAGAATCTACAGTATTCAAAATATCCTTTAGATCCACAAATATTGTCGGAGCAGGTTGAACCATTTCATACCTCAATGTCTGTTAAGTCAACTAAACATCTTCAGGGTCTACGGGACTTAGAAAAGGTGCAGCTACAGATGCAACTAGAGGTTGCAACTAATCAAGTAAACTGATATTGTAAACGTTTCTTGTACTGATATACATCTAGGTTTTACATACGATGTTTTTACCTATTTAATTTATTGCATTGCACTTATAGTATCTTCGCCCTCTGAAGACATTACTCTTCAACCACCTGCGATTTCGTTACATGTGTTTGCTTATCACTAAAGGGATGACAGTTACAAGACCTGGACCTGGTCTCATGAAAATAAACGAAACTAGAAAGGAACAAGCTACGCAATCATAGTAACATAAAGCAGAATCATTTGGCATAAAACTCGATACTCTAATGGCATCTGTAACGCCTCGCAACAACCTTTAGCACATAAATAAGACCAGTGAATCTTGATGATTCCCTGATTAATGGACGTGTAAAGGTCAATTTCCTCTATATCTGACTCCAATAAATAGTGTCGCGTTAACTGAGTATTTACGCAGGCTAAATCTCCAATAGTATGGATTTACTCGAGATTATTCAAAAGCCCGAAACGCCAGTTGTAGAGATAGTTTATTGTTGATGATTAGTAAACGTCTTCAAGTGCACAGATAGCAAGCACGCAGAGAATAGTGTGTTGAAAATCCATATATATTTATGGGTGTTAGTCGATTGTGGAGAATAGATAAAGATTAATGTACAGACATGTGCCCAATTGGACCCACACAATTTTACACAATGGATTAAATGTCTAAATTACAGCGAGTAGACAAATAATGAAATAATTGAGTGGGCTTACCACAGATGCTTTGAAACTTATGTGGTCGGATTTAAAACATAGGCGAAGGCAAGTTTGCACTTGATTTTAAGCTTGAGTGATGATCGCTGGTATCCATTCGTAAGGGCACTATCAAGGGGACAATCGTTAACAAAGGAGACCGTTAAGAAGGCACATATTTAAAAGGGCGAGTATTAAAAAGGAAAATAAAATTTCTAAGAGTCTGAAATTTAGTCGGTTTACCATTTGTTCTTTTGACTCTACAATCAACCGTAAATGTAGTTCTCTATACATTCAATAGAGGTCTCAACAACATTCAATGAAATGTTTACATTCAATGAATAATGTAATATTTTGAACTTAGTAACAATTCGTTATTCTTATTATCTTAGTCATGTCATCCTATACATCTATTTCAACCAGCGGAGCTGAGAATTTATTGGCCTGCCAAATGAATAATATAAGGTTCATATTCATATACTGTTCATACTAGATAGGAAAATAGCGTTTGACTCCTGTTCGGACGACCTTGTGACATATCAAACCGTGACAAATCGATAAATTACTCCGCTATAGACTTTCTATTCGACCTTACTAAGGTTAACAAATATTTTATGAATAAGAATAGCTTATTCAACAGTTGTTGTGGTATCAGACACTATGTGATTTGATGATACTAACTAGCTACCCAAACCAAATAATTTAGGGCAGAGTTCCTAATTGCGGCCTGTACGTCAAACCCCTCAGTCAAATATTCTACTAGAATTGATACGTTCGTTATCTGATATTTTGTAGACTGACCTATTTTTCCTTGAAAGATTCATCAATAACAGTCTCTCCTAATAAGCATCCTTTGTAGCAACTTAGGGTTCGGGATTCGTGTGTCTTTCCAAACTGCTGATTCCGTACTGTTGCATCAGCGTCCCGATTGAATATATACCATAGAGTAGTTGAGCACGTCAGCTATGTGGTCGGCAACTTTATTTTTGTGTACTGAACTTCTGGTCACCTAGGGAATTCAGTTTTCCTCCACGTGGTTGTACGCAAATCTATAATTTATATGTACTTTTAATTGAATGTTTCATTTTCATATTAAAAAATATTTTAAAGCATTTATTTTGGTGATTACCAGTATTCGGTGTTTTAGATTAAATTTTTAACCGTGTGTGACAGGATTTTACGGTGTATTATAACCGAAGGCTACTACACATCCTTCAATTCATCAACTCCATTTTCTATCCATTTCAGAATGAACATAATCATACTTCTACTCCCTATCCCAGTTCCTCTCAACAAGGTATGTGCATTTTTAAGCTTAATTTTTGCGAGCGTTTTATCTTTTCTGCTGTTGTCTTTTATAAAAGCAACTATAAATTTAATTATGTGTACCTGAAGGCAAGAGAAACTCAGTGACAAACTGGCATTTACAACCAGACACAAATTGTTTTTAGCTCATTAATATTCATGTTTAGCTCTTTAGATTTGAAGCTAGATTTGAATACCTACCCGAGATATATGAACTAAACAATTGAAAACCTTTAATATAGTTCATCATCTTATCATCATAACAATAGCTTTAGATGCATATATACTATCATAAATATCGGTAGACTGAAGCCCCATCCAAATTCTCAGTTTATTGCTTCCTTACCCTTTAAGGCATGTACGTGTTAATACATAATAGTTTCTTTCATAACGTTTCTGTTAAGTTTTTACATGCATATTTCCTGTTTTTGATAAAATGGACTAGTAACTGATGAAATTGTCGAAGGTATTCGCTTTTAAAACCTTGTCAAACCAGCCTGGATGTTTTTTAAATTCTCTAGTAAGTGAATGAAATTAACTTACATATCATGTTATTGCCATTTCGAGTGACCATCTTATACCTAGTAAAACTAAAATCTAATTTTGCACAATATTTAAACTGTTGGTTCTAATACACCATAGTTAGGCTTCTACTATAGACCACAATTGCACCGCCGACCACATAGAATATCCGTTGCTAATAGAAAACCTTTTTCCTTTCCTTTCATTTGCCTTTGTTATCTCCATTTCCATAGTTTACACAGCCTTTTACTTTGGAACCATTGTTAGCTTCGCTAAATTGCGTACTGTTGCAAAACGTGATAATTTAATCCTCTACGTCTATGAGTTTTGTATGTTCTGTTCCTCGTGTCTTAAATTATGCCGTCTCCTAGGATTATCGTCGCTTCAATACTCAAACGTTATCGTCGACAGTTTGTCATACTCAAGTATTTAAGTAATAGAAAGTTTTACAGTTCCTTTTTTGAGAGTTAAGTTTCGGGGAATACTGTATACACTGCATGGCTTATTTGTTCCCAAATATTTATTTTATCTCATCACTTATTATTTCTTGATAAAATATAAAATCATGTTGAGTGTTGGTGTTCTTTTTCTTGTTTCATCATCTGGAGAATTTAGGTCTGATAACAAGTTTGCATATGTATTTAAGTGATAAATGAAATTCATTTGTGGGAGCTGTAGTTATTTCAGTATATTGCACTTATAATTAATATTATTTTTATCCATAAAATACAGTACATCAGAGTGTGTTTCCTGGTTTTGTCCCTGGTGGGACACCAAAACTAGCACGAAATTCTGTGCAAAGGGTTGCTTCTGTTAAAGCCGTTTCCGAAAACATTAATGGTGATAATCGTTTTGGTTTGTCCGGCTCTTGGCAGGTAGCCATTCCTCCTTCATCTGCATTAGGTTCTCAACAAGAAATTGAAAAGGTAAGAACCGCTCATCATGTTATGTATACATTTTTGGATTTTCTAAATAAACCATACGTCACTGTTGTTTTTTGTTTTATTACAATAGTGTGTAAAATGGTATTAGGGCTAGATTATCGTTTTAATTTTGTAACTTGATTGGTTCAACATCATAATAAATCAGTTAATTCAACACATAAATTCCAAAACGAAATTTTATGTAAAATTCGATCTGATATGATAAGTTTGACTACAAACTGTTTTAATACTGGGGAGTCAATTAATTTCAATTTATCAGTTTCGATTGTTTGTTTAAACTTGTTGATAAAATTTTAATTTCCAAACTTAAATACATATAAAAATGTTCGAAACTTAAGCATGTGATAGTATTCTAGCATCGATTAGGATAGATCGCTAAAGTTAGTGAGCCTTTTAAAACCTATGTTCTAGTTTGTGATTCAACAATGAATACCTTCAGCTTTATACAGAACCAACCACTAAACGTTCCATTGTCGGTCTGTAGACTGTCAACTCACCATAAAAATAATAAGTCGCCTTTTCACAAACTAGTTAAGCTTTTAAAAATCATGCTACCTAATCAAATAAGTTGTAATTGGGCTATACTCTTACAGATCCAGTTTGTTTATTCTATGCATTTCGTGTGCTACTTTATTTTTCATCTGCCTAATATGTATGTTTACTTCGTTAGCCCTTGGCTATCAGGAGTTATTGAGGGTATATTGTGATTTATTTAATTCAGATGCATATGATGTATCAGAAAGCCTGTCAACTTTATCAGCGTGCTGTAGCTACTATTGGATCAACACCTAATGTCAGCATCCAACCCCCACCTTTCGGCACTCCTATTGGTTCTCCTCCTTCAATATCTCTCCAATCATTTCCACCGACTCTGATGCCTGTTACTGCCGTTGAACGTCCAGCATCTGTGTCTCCGTCCAAATTCATCCCGGCGTCTCAACTTCCTCATGACGTTCTCAGAGATGTACCTAATCAATGCATTGGTCAAAATCCTCATATACCGGCAATTATTCCTAATCACGCACAGTCAGCTAGTATACAGACTGCTTATTCGATGGCGTATTCTTCCGCCTATCAAGAGACTTTAAAGTTTATGTCTAATAATACCGGGAGTAACTTAGCCCCTAATACACAGGAATACACATCTCAGTGGCATCGCTATTTTAATCACTATCTGAATTATTATTTACAAGTTCATAATTATACACCTACGCTATCTAGTGAACAACAACCAGTTTTCTTCCCTCCCACTGGATTACCACCTCCCCCTAGCATTGCATCCTCTGTAAGTTGCAGTTTTGTGTATAAACGCTGCGTTATTCTACCCGTGATATATATATATATATATATAGACCTTGATATTTCATCAGTGTTGTGTCTTAACGATTGATCTATATCATTTGCTAAGTTTGCCAGTCAGAGTTGTGGTATTTTCTCTACCCACGCCTAATATTACGTTAATGACCGTCTTAGGTTTTGACCAATGATATGATGCGTTCTAACCAACACAATTCGTCTTGAGCTAACGTATTTTAACTGTTACTGATTCTCCAATATGCATCGTTTGCTATCCCTAACCTTAAGTCCAAAGGGAAAACGAGTCAAACTATTATATCATATTCCAACCATCACAACTCAGGAATTATCCCAAGCATTCATTGGCTTATACACACAAGGAATTGGGTTGCAGTGCACCATAAAATAAAAAATCGTAGTTTAAACACACGTGCCAAAAGTGGCAGTGAAGACGGGCAAATTGTAGGTAGTCGATTGATAACAGTTTAGGAATAATTAGACGTATGGCGATGGTTAGTGAGTCAAATGGCAGTTTACAATAAGCATAATATAGATATGCAATTATACAGTCATCTACTTACTGTACAATAAAAATATGAACAATAATAGTTCGAAAAACAGTCCCGAATCTCATGTTTTAATGTTTACTTCACTGCAAGACTAAGCAACCGACTATAGTTGCTGTTTTCCATCAACTAACATCTTTTGTACCGTCTTAGGAAGCTTTTCCACATTTGTTCAATTCAAGTTCAACCATCATTTTCCCTCCGTTGCTGCTTCGACTTTAAATAAATGCCATTTTACTTTTAAACCTTGATTAACTGCATTTGGTCCTTTTTCTTTAATTTTAGCAAAATATATTTGACAGTTTCGAACTTTCTAGGCATATGATTTAACATAAAAAATTCTGCCAGATTATAACATCAAAAAGTGTTATTGTTGTGTAATAATTCTGTTATTACTTGTTAAGCGTATAGTACTTTTTGACGTATAACTATGAATTTTTGCTTAATGATAAGTCATAAAATTAGTGATGATTTGGTGATTTATGCACTCAAATTTCAGTCATAAAATCATAGGTCTAAGTCTTATCCCTTCTATTTCGCTACAGTAACCACTTTCTGTTTATAGTTTCCAAATGCTCCAAGTACAGGAATTGGTAATTGATTACTAAGTTGCATTGCCTTATTTCTTTATTCCTTGTCTACATATGAAAGTTAAAAAACTTTCTATTACGCTTAATATGAAAATGATTTAGTATTTTTCCGTGCCCTATTAATTCAAGACTGAAGCCCAGTTCTTAACCATTTTTTTCCTTTCCAAGTGAGCTTATCTTATTTATAAGATAAATTATTGTTCCTATTACGAAGATGTACTATGTTTATTGATTTTTACATCACCCAAAATACCACCGTTCAAAATAATTAAGATATTGAATTAATTCAACCTATCATATGTACTTGATGGTTCTTTACATTCAGTTGTCACGATTAAGTATATTTTATTTCTTTACAGTGTGCCAATGATCTAGTTTTTCAATCTAAGCGAGATTTTCATAACCATCATGACTCTAAGCGCCTATGTATATCGTCTAACGAGGGTCTTCATCGTATTTCTACTGTACTCCATCCTGAACATTCCAATCGCTCTAGTTCCCCATCTGATTCAAAAAATGTAACAAACGATGGATCAAAAAGCGATCGTAAGTGATTGAAATTTATCCAAATATAGTGCTCTAGCTTTTATATGTATATAATTTTGAAACTGAGTTTACAATGCCAATGAAAACAATATAGCCTTTGGAGTAGATCATTTTACCTAGAAACAGCATAATGGATGATCTTTATTGTATGTAAAGATTATATATTTTCCCGACAATTCTATATTTTATTGACTCAATTCTCGTGTTGTCTCATTTATCATTATGGAGGTTATTATTACCCACTAGAGTTTACCCATTTTTGCTTGAATAAGACGAAAGTTGTTTCGGCGGTGAAAATATGTGATTGAATTATATCACAAGTTAACTTTTATTGGAATTCGTGTTCATTTAATTCGGACCCTTTAATGCATTGATAATCTTCATTACAAAAGTTGAATACTCTAAATCTGTCGAACAGTTTCAAGTAATAACGAAGTTTTTTTCAAATAAGTTGATGAATAATTATTGTAATTTAACTGCTATTACCTGGGTCACAGACTCTATACATAATATATTATTCTTCAGGGTCTGGTTTAACTAAACCCTTTTCGTGTTAAACTAATACCTCCCAGTCGTTATATATAACCATATATTTGAGTATACTTTCGACTTCCATTTATTTTCGTAGTATCCTCGTCAAAGTATTTATGGATAAGCAATCTCCCTCAAGGTGTTCGAGCAGTAGATATTAAAGAAATGTGTGCACCATACGGAAAAGTAAGTTGTTTGTTGATACTGTAGTCTTATTGACTGCGTCTTTTATCGATAACAATTACTGCTTTCTTAGAATCTAAACTTAGTAACACTTGAACTGCAGTTCTTATTTGAAGTAATTGATAAAACGGAAAAAGAAAACTGCATAATGGTCGTAAATATTCTTTAATTATGTGTTTATCAATTATCTGATTAATATTTCATGTGGTTTAAGTCATTAAAGTCAAACGAGTACGGTTTATTACGTTCAGGATGTTTTATACTTTTAAAATTATCCATCAGCCAATGTGTTGTCACACTTTCGTATAGCCAATTAATTTCCCATAACAAGCATTTTTTTGTTATTGACTCTTACGTTACCCTAAAGACTATTAATCACACTGTACAGGAGTAGTGGGCTAGTAGTTAAGGCGTTCGATTTTCAGCTATTAAGCCAAGTACTTGGTCACAGCTGTTGCTCCTGCTTCAGTTCAGGCAGCCGAGTGGTATCAATAGCCCTCACAATTAGAGTGTACCTCATACACAAGTGCCTTAGTGAATGAGTTAATTCAAAAATGTTGAGTCGTCAATGGACTTCGCTTTCTAAACTACTAAGTGAGGCTTAAATCTGATGAATAACGGAAGTTATATATATATATATATATATATATATATATATATATATATATATATATATATATATATATATATATATATATATATATATATATATATATAAACACAAGATATTTAAACAGTATTGTTTTGATTGTATAGATCGGTTACACTTACCATCTGATGATAAAAGGCGAATATGATCATTTAATGTCTTGTGCATTTGGCAGCCTGGCTGCTTTTTGCTAACAAGCATCATTTGAAATCATATGATTACAGCCTTACTGATGGTTACTTTTAAACATAATTTTGTTTTATGTACGTTAAAATGTAAATAAGGTTCTCAACGTGGATTTTTTTCTAGGTTCAAACAATAAAAATAGTAGGCAGTAAAAAGAGTAAACCCCCATCTATTTACGCTTATCTCATTATGGAGACTTCGGAGGCCGCAGTCCGTCTTATAAAAGCCTTACAAGGTGTGAGGTTCTCTGGAAATGAATTGAAGATAAAACAAGTATGTACTGTCTTAAATTTAGTATTTGATTTATCCCTTTTTCAACACTAATGGAACATTCATGAATTCATTGGTTATCTTGACCAAACCTAATAATCAGTATTATGATTGAGTCCGTTTCATATCAGGGGCCATTATGCAATTTCTAATAGTCCTTCAAATCTTTTAAAACCAATACAAAGAATTCTGTCAAAGTTGTGAAAACTATTTACAAATCTGATTATACATTAAGCCAATCGGGACTCAATGAAAATTTTTCTGAGATTGTACTATTTCAGATAGTCGCTAAATTCGGTCCTTAGTGAATGTTCGAATATATCTCAAAAAGAAAAGTTTGTAGTGTAAAGTTTCTGTTGATAAAAAAAACCTATTGAAAGGGAATTTTTCCAGTTTATTCGTCACTTTACTAAATGTCTAAAAGGAAATTTTAACTATACTGAGATCTGAGCAATAGTTTGGGTTAAAGGTTCTTAATGCATATTTGAACTACACCTCAAGGCTCAGTGAAGCGAAAATAAATGTTTATTTTATAAGAGTGTGCGGAAACTAATCTGCATCAAAAGTATATTAGAAATCTTTACTTCGATTTAAAGTTCGATATAATTGACTGACTCAAACGTTATGCCCTAAATCAAATTGATTCTCTAAATTTATATATTAATGAAATTTTTAAAAAATGTCAAGAAAGTTGATGCTATTGAAGAACCTCCTGGTAACTTAAAGGAACGATTTTTGAACCATGTTAAGATGATGGTTTATACAGGAAAAGTAAAACCTAAACAAACAGATTCCAGAAATAAAATTCCCATCTCGGTATATACGCAATTTTTCCACTGTTAAGCTCAATAATATTGAGTTAAAAGCGTTATCATTAGGGCCAAAGTTTTGTGACTTAAAAAACAGTTAATAAAATTGACGTTGAAATTGAAATTGAAAACCTTTATGTCCAAACTGCAGTCAGTAATTCCGTCAAAAGATTATTATTTTATTTTTATTTTAACACATAGATATTTGTACAAGGAGGCACCAAATACATATGCGCCACACAAATCTCATTCGATATGTGTCAGGGCTGTGATACTGCCCGGGTGCCCAAACCGAAGCAGGTGGTTTTCTTAGGGGGCCACACCCGGAGCCTTCGACCTGAAGGTCTGATCCACAAAACAGTGGAGTATCGTCAGGAGATGCAGTCTTATGGAAGCCGGTGACCAGCGATTGGTTCTAAGGCCATTTGTTCCTTCAGGATACTGCAGTCCCTGTACACCATTGGCTTGGAATTAGGGTTTTCCAACTCCTCTAGGTGGACTCTCCATGTCCACCAACCCGGTTAAAGCACCGGACATTCGCTTTTCGTCCTCTCAATTTCGTAAACAACACCCGTGGTGCGAGAAGGCAGTGAGTAGAGGCTATATACGCGTGGCCATGTGAGAGCATTTCGAGAGGGAGAGCGGACTCTCCCCACTCTCGGCCGTACCAGGGCATTTGGGGGCACCTAAATGATAAGCATAATTCGAAGATGATTTTGACAAAAAGTCAAGCAAAGTTTACGGATCCAGACAAAGGTCATGGTTTATTGCTAATGGATAAAAGCGACTGTTTGAACAGAGTGAAGGCCGTTTTAAATGATAAGAGTAAATTTCCGAAACCGGTAATTAAGAGTAGTACGGTAAACAGGATTGAAAGATAACCAATAGAATTATTGAAACAAATTAAACAAAAAGGTTTTATTTCAGAAAAGGTGTTGGGAATGTTGAGACCTACAGAAGAAATAACACCAATATTATATAATCTGTCAAAAATATATCGAGGTGACTTGTCCTGTTTACGCTAATTTCTTCTATATCTGACTCCAATAAATGATATCCCGTTAACTGGGTATTTAAGGTAGGCTAAATCTCCTAGTAGAATTATGGATTTACTGGAGATTATTCACAAGCCTGAACATCAGTTGTAGAGATATTTTATTGTTAAAGATAAATAACATCCGCAAGCGTACAGTGAGCCAGCACACTGTGAAACCACGAGTGTCTGTTTGTGTGTGTTGAAAATCCATATATATATTTGAGTGTCAATCAAGTGTGGATGAATTATTGATTATGTGAATGTTACAACCAATAGTTACTTACTTACGCCTGTTACTCCCAATGGAGCATAGACCGCAGACCAGCATTCTCCAACCCACTCTGTCCTGGGCCTTTTCTAGTTCCATCCAATTCTTGTTCATGTTTCTCATATCTATTTCCATCTCCCGGCGTAATGTGTTCTTTCGTCTTCCTCTTTTCCTTTGGCCCTGAGGATTCCATGTGAGGGCTTGTCTTGTGACGCAGTTGGCTGCTTTCTTCAATGTGTGTCCTATCCACTTCCAGCGCTTCTTCCTGATTTCTTCCTCCACTGGGATCTGGTTTGTTCTCTCCAACAGTACGTTGTTGCTAATAGTGTCCGGCCAACGGATCCGAAGTATTTTACGTAGACAACTGTCAATAAACACCTATGTCTTCTGGATGATGGCTTTCGTAGTTCTCCAGGTTTCCGCCCCATACAGTAGAACTGTCTTGACATTTGTATTGGAAATCCTGACCTTGGTGTTGGTAGACAGTTGCTTTGAGTTCCAGATGTTCCTCAGTTGTAAATATGCTGCTCTTGCTTTGCCGATCCGCGCCTTCACATCTGCATCAGATCTACCCTGTTCATCAATGATGCTGCCCAAATATGTAAAGGTTTTTACATCTTGCAAATCTTCTCCGTCAATTGTGATTGGATTGGTGCATTCTGTGTTGTATCGGAGAATCTTGCTTTTCCCTTTGTGTATATTGAGACCTATTGCTGCTGAGGCTGCTGCCACACTGTTCGTCTTCTCCTGCATTTGTTTTTGCGTTTGAGATAGAAGGGCCAGATCATATGCGAAGTCTAGATCGTCCAACTACATCCTAGATGTCCATTGTATCCCATGTTTCCCTTCAGATGTTGATGTCTTTATGATCCAGTCGATCACCAGGAGAAAGAGAAAAGGTGCGAGTAAGCAACCTTGCCTGACACCAGTATTAACTTCGAACGACTCTGTCAACTGTCCTCCATGCACGATTTTACAGTACAATCCATCATATGAATTCTGTATGATATTGACTATCTTCTGAGGTACGCCGTAGTGTCGAAGAAGCTTCCATAGTGTTGTTCTGTCCACGCTGTCAAATGCTTTTTCGTAGTCAATGAAGTTGATGTGGAGTGATGAGTTCCATTCAAATGATTGTTCCACAATCATCCGTAGAGTTGCGATTTGGTCTGTACACGATCTATCCTTACATAATCCTGCCTGTTGGTCACGAAGTCGGGCGTCTACGCAGCCCTTCATCCTGTTTAACAATACCCTGTTGAAGACTTTTCCCGGTATTGAGAGAAGAGTGATACCCCTGTAGTTATCACAGTTGCTGAGATCGCCTTTCTTCGGTATTTTGATCAGAAGTCCTTCTTTCCAGTCTGTTGGTACTTGTTCCTCATCCCAAATCTTATTGAAGAGAATGTGGAGTATTCTTGCAGTTACTGCTACGTCTGCTTTTAGTGCCTCTGCTGGGATGTTGTCCGGTCCTGCTGCTTTGCCACTCTTGATCTGTCTGATGGCCATGCTGATTTCTTCAATTGTTGGTGGGCCAACATTGATTGGGAGGTCCGTGGGTGCTGCTTCGATGTTGGGTGGGTTCAGTGGAGCTGGTCGATTCAAGAGTTCTTCGAAGTGTTCTACCCACCTGTTTTGTTGCTCTTCAATGTTGGTGATTACCTCACCTTCCTTGCTTTTCACTGGTCGTTCTGGTTTGCGGCGATTTCCAGAGAGTTTCTTTGTCGTGTCATACAATTGTCTCATGTTTCCTTCTCTTGCAGCCTTTTCTGCCGTCATTGCTAAATCTTCCACATATTTACGTGTCGGTTCTGATGCTCCTGTTCACTTGTTTGTTTACTTCTGTGTATTCAGCTTGTGCCTTGGCTTTTTCTGCTCTTGTTCGACTGGTATTGATTGCTGCTTTCTTGTTCCTCCTTTCTTGAATCTTATCCAGTGTATCGACAGTGATCCATTCCTTGTGATGGTGCTTCTTGTGGCTAAGGACCTCATGACATGTTGAAGTTACTGCCTTTTTTTATCCCCTTCCAGTTGCTCTCCATAGTAGTTCCTTCTCCATTGAGTAGATCATGAAAGGCCTGGAACTTATTGCTGAGGACTATCTTGAATTTGTTGAGTTTGTCAGTATCCTGAAGAAAGGCCGTATTGCACTTTTGTGATATTGTCCGCCCCATTGTCCAGTGCTTCTTGAGTTTCAATTTCATCTTGGCGACCAGCAAGTAATGGTCTGATGTTATATCAGCTCCTCTCTTGGTTCTCACGTCTTCCATCGTCCTCCTGAACTTTTTGTTGATGCAGATATGGTCGATTTGGTTTTGCGTAGTGTGATCCGGTGAAGTCCATGTGATTTTGTGTATGCGTTTATGTGGGAATATGGTGCCGCCTATGACCAGTTTATTGAAGGCACATAGGTTTGCAAATCTCTCACCATTTTCGTTCCTTTCTCCCAGTCCGTGCCATCCCATGATGTCTTCATAACCAGTGTTGTCCGTTCCAACCTTGGCATTGAAATCTCCCATCTGAATGGTCAGGTCCTTTGTTGGGCACTTCTCGATGATTGACTGCAGCCTATTGTAGAATTGATCTTTAGCGTCTTCATTGTAGTCGTTGGTAGGCGCATAGCATTGGATGATGTTCATTGAAATGCCCTCTTTCTTTGTTTTGAAGGAGGCTTTGATGATCCTTGGTCCATGAGATTCCCATCCTATAAGCGCATTTTCGCTTGTTTGGACAGCATCAATGCAACTCCTTGTGTATGTGGTGCATTTTCTTCTTCATGACCGGAGTATAACAGAAGCTCCCCTGAAGTTAGTCGTTGTTGTCCAACTTGCGTCCAATGTGTTTCACTGATCTCAAGTACCTCTAGGTTGTATCTCCTCATTTCTGCAGC